ATATCAGTTAATTATTATTATCTAATTCAACAATTAGAAGATGATTTGTGATAATTACGATGTAAAATTGTACGAATATGCAGAAAAAAATAAAAAATGAGAATATATACGAAAAATTAGTTCGGACCCCGTCGCTAGATGGCGATACCGTTTTTGGGTCCATTAACTGCCGTTCATGTTCGTGATTTTATACATGGCAAAATATGAATGTAATGAATGTTATGAATAATAAACTATAATTTTTAACCAATTGTTGTACTGCTCATTCCTCCGGGGCAATAATTGGTTAGCATAATAATTTGATTCTTCTATCTTCATTCGCTAAACGTCCCACTAAAGATTAAGACATATTCTCCGTATTTCTCTTTGAGAATATATACACCTTGATACTGAACATATTGGTTCGTACTTTTTTCCTTTTTCCTTATTTACACTCAATAGGCATTTAAAACTTTCACTTACAATCGCAATATGTTTTAGAATTAAAAAGTATACCACATTAAAGTGAGACAGCATATTGTTATGTATATTAACATTGATTTATATATAAAATTTGCTTTAATTTTTGTGTATTTAATTAGAGCAAACAAAAATCCATTTAAAATTTGTCCCTCAAGAGGTTAAAGTACCCATGTTACAGAAACATACAATTCGAATGTCACGCAAAACTTTCTAAATTTGGTTATTGTTTTCAAGTTTTATACAGAGAACGTTTGTACTATAATTTCAGGTATTATACACTTCATAGAATGTTAATCAATTTAATGTGACTTAATATTCTTGAAAATAATGGAAGAGAAGTTAATTAAGAAAAGTAATCGTAAACAGAAAAGAGCTTACCATAGGCTTTTAAAAGATATGAATATTAAATGCTGTGATAATGTAACAAAAGTTAGTATTTAATTTAAAAAAAAATAGAGTATATTATAATAAAATACATCTCGTATATTTATTTTTCTCCTTTTTCATAGAATGTAATGATTTGTAATGGTGGTTTAGTAACTGGACTTCAAAGGGAAACATTACAAAGTATTATAGATCCATTGATCAGTAAATATGACTTAGTAATGATACCAAACAAATCATATTGTTTTATCAAATGTTATTCTAGTAAAGATGCTGAACATATATATAATCAAATTCATGGTTGTGTTAAACTTAAAGAACAAAGTACACCATTGTACGCATCATTTACAGAATCAGGTATATAATATAATTTCCTCCAAAATTTATATTATATTTTCTTCCATTTTTACATAAATCAAAATACCATAAAAAATATATATTTTTTAATTTGATTTCAGTTCCCAATATAGATTACCATCAATTATCTTCTGATCTTCCTTCCGGGCTTAGGCTAATAGAAAATATTATAACTAAAGAAGAAGAAGAGGCTTTGTTAAAATCAATTAATTGGAGTGATGAGGGTATTATAACCAATTTATATTTCATATAAAAAAAGTGTTCTAAATTGTCAGAAGTTTGTGATAGTCATACTTAATTATTCACTTTCTAGCATCAAAATCATCTGAGTTAAAACATAGAAAAGTTAAACATTTTGGATATGAATTTCAATATGATTCGAATACAGTAGATCCTCATGAATCAATTTCACCTATTCCTGAAATCTATAAATTTTTGCAAGTATTATTCAAAAAGTGTGATGTACTGTATGATTATGATCAATTAACAATTAATCGCTACCTACCTGGTCAAGGTATATTATACAAAATTTACTCCATATTATAGGCATGTCAAACTCATTATAATCAGATCTAAAATATTGCAAAATCTAATTATTAAAGCTACATGTTTGACATACCTATCATAACAGAAGTTTCTTTACAAGATAACTGTGGTACATCATGATTTAAGGAATTCCATCACACATTGACACACATAGTATTTTTGAAGATACTATATTATCTTTGTCATTGGGTTCAGCATGTATCATGGATTTTAAACGAGAAGATAAAAGAGTTGCTATTCTTTTACCGCCTCGTTCATTGTTAATTATGTCAGGGGAAGCTCGATATGCATGGTCACATGGAATTTGTCCAAGACACAATGATGTAGTAGAGACTGTAAATGGAATTACAACACAGCCACGAGGTACAAGGGTATCGTTTACATTCAGAAAAGTGAGGAGTGGTGATTGCTATTGCACTTTTCCAGAATATTGTGACACAAAAAAAACTTGTACCGATACTCTTATTGATAATAAAGTGGCCACAGGAATAGAAAATTCTTATGTCCATGAAGTATGTGGCAAAAAAATGTTGTTTACTTATTTTATTCTATTCATAGAAAATTATTAAATACATATATTTATAGGTTTATGAAAAGATTTCAAGTCATTTTGATGAAACAAGACATAAACAGTGGCCGAATGTGTCAAAATTTCTTCAGTCACTAAGTCCAGGTGATATTCTCTTAGATGTAGGTTGTGGAAATGGCAAATATCTCCATGAACAAAAACATATATTTAAGGTATGCATTGCTAGTCATTTCTATTACTATTGCTTAATTTTATTAGTTATATGTTACTCTCAAACTTAATACTGCAGATTGGATGTGATAGAAGTCAGAATTTAATGAAGATATGTCACAGTAAAAATTTTGAAGTATTTTTATCTGATTGTTTATACTTGCCATATAAAAGCAATAGTTTAGATGCAGCGATAAGTATAGCGGTAATTCATCATCTTTCAACTCACGAAAGAAGAAAGCAAGCAATTTCTGAATTAGCACGAGTTCTTAAACCAAATGGAAAATGTTTAATTTATGTATGGGCGAAAGAGCAAGAAAAAGACTCCACTCGATCAGCTTATTTAAAATACAATATAACCACAAAAGAAAACGAACCTGCGTGTAAACAAAAATTGACAGAATATGGTGTAACACTACCAGTACACGAAAATCGCACAAAATTTGTGTCTACTGATATGCTTGTTCCTTGGAAAAGAAAGGGAGGAGGAGATTTCCTCAGATATTATCATGTATTCGAAGAAAATGAATTAGCACAATTATGTTCAGAAGTATTTGCCTTTACAATAAAAAATACATACTATGATCAAGGAAATTGGTGTGTACTTTTACAAAAAAAATGAAATAAATTAATTAAAATAAAATTTAAGAATAAATCCCACGTGTTTCTTAATATCCCAATTCATGTCCACGACATATATTTAGTATAAGTCCTAAAAGAATTGCAAATCATATTGCATACTGATTAAAATCACAAAATTAATTAAAAAGTGAAATAGGAATACAAGAATGCTTTAAATGTTTTTACCTTTATTGGAAAAAGAACAAAATACATGGAATATGTGTACTATACAGGGTTTTAGATATAAATAATCCCTGATATCTAGTTTTTTTCGTTATAAACATGAATAATGCATTAGTAGACAAGACAAGTGCACTGTACAAAGCTCACTCTGCTTGACTTTTACTTGCTATTGTGCTTCAATTGTATAACATATTTAATAGCAATATAGATTATCATTATCATCATCATTAATAATAATATTATTATTATCGTCGGCATTATAGTTTTCAATATTATTACTATTGATATTAATGTAATTATTTGTATTAGGTATCATTTGTAAATATATTAGCACACCTTATTCGCACAAAAATAGTGTCTCCAATTATAAAATTAATACAGGATGATAATTGTTTTCAAATGCTATTTTCCAGAATTGCAACCAAATTTTATATTGAGTGTAATTTTTCTTTAGATGTTAATGTCAATAGTGTACATAATATATACAACGATTGACAATACTAAGCTATTAGTAAAATTGTTATGTATTTTCAATTGGCGAGTGCTTGACTTAGGACAAAGTATACTGTCCTCTCTTCCTTAATATATTCAAAAACTTACACAGGCCCAACTTCCTCTGGATCATAATTTTTTACTCTTTTATTATATGCAATTATTTCCTAAATAATTAAAGTAGTAAACATTAATTTCAGACTTTTCTTCAGAACCTTTAAACATAAAATATAATAAATTTTATTTACTCTTTCATATCTGGCTCTATCTTCTTCTGCTATTGCCATATACTTTGATTTTGTTTGAAGATCTGTACTCATCCATAGTTTACCCAACTCTTTGGCAATATCGCCTACTCCCATTTCTGGATGTAATTCTCTCATTTTTCCACGTAACTCTTGGCAAAAATAGAAAAATGCAGACCTGAAATAATATTTATAAACAAAACATCAAAAACTAATCAATGTTGAAAACACATACAATGCTCTTTTTGGTGCATCTTTGTCTCTGTATCTTTTAGTTCCCCTACGTGTTGGTTTTTCTGTTTCATCATGGCTCACATAATGTCTGTCATAGTAGTGCATTTTCTTATTGCAATGTGCTCCATCTTCAAGATGTACAATCTAGCGATGTAACATAATTCTGTTAACATGTATATTGCCATTATATAAAATGTTGGTCACATTATTCAGAGCAAACTTACTTCATTTTTTACTGGTACTGCATTAATAATAAAATTTTTACTTTGCATATTTGACCATTTTGCTTGATTGTTTGAAACACTGGATACATTTCCAGGTTTCATTACAGGTTCCCCACATTCTGAACATTAAACAATTAATTGTGCATAAGCTTGAAAACTAATTAAATGTTTCTATTAAAAATACTTTGGAATATATTGCTAATATTTAGTGAGGCAACTTGAAAAGATTCTAATGTAAATGTTTTAAAACTGAATAACATTTTACCTGGTGTCATATTTGTTTGACCAACGATCATTGTGTCTCTCATTCCAGTATTTAAAGAGTTATCACCCGTCTTTGTAAGATAAACATTTTTCCTGTCAGATGATTCCATGATTGTAGAATATTCTTTTTTAATATTTCGTCCTGAAGAGATTGATAAGTTTCCCAAAATTGTAATAATCTATAATATATTTAATATATTCCTTTGCATCAGTCATTTAGATAATCAACATTCTGATGATTACACATATGAATATTTCAAGATCAATAATTATTTTCATCTTGTCACATTAATAAGAAATTTGGTTGCTATATTCACTAAAAACCACGTCTATCCATGATAACATATACAAAACAATGATATAAATAAAATTCATGATTTTATATCAATTTCATACTTTTGTTTCTATATAATTCTGAAACTTGTAATTTTTCTAAGGGCTATTACATATTACTTACCACGAATATATTTATATAAACCATATAAAACACTATTGTTTCAATCTTAATAAAATACCATTATGAATAGTTTTCCCAAGTTCTGCAGAACAAACACGACAAAATTCAAAATCTTGCATCATAAGAATAATAATTTGCATGAAAATTGCATTATAACTGAAGAAGTATAACAAAATTTTCCTTCTTTCATTTAATAACAAACGATTAATAATGTACAAATATTACATCCTACTACTTGATTATATTAGTAATGTTTGCAGCAATTTATCCGAAATTCTAGCAAATCTATATTTCAATTGAAAAAATTTGTTAATGCTGAAACACGCATATTTCGTTTTTATAACCACTACGAATTACATTACAAATTACATATCACTAGGAAATTGCGTATACAATATATTTACATATTCAATAATATTTTTACGAAATTTAATTAACAAACATCGTTGTCAAAAGAATATGTTGAATATACTCAACAAGAAGAAAAGGGTAAAAATAATATTGGTAACAGCGAGAAAACGAACGGAAATAATGTAACATTCAAATATGATAGAAATACGCAAGCAATGAAAGTAAGAGGTAAATGTAACAGATATTTACCTACAGATGACGTACAAAGGCAATCGCTGCTACAACACAAAATAAAAGCTACCTTTCACGAACTGCGAATTGTATGGCGAGAATTTGAGAATCGTAAACGAAAGAATATTAAGTATGGAACGTAGAAGGTGATTAAACTTACCAGTAATAATTAAAAGACAACGTTGCAAAGATATTCGTGAGAAGCGACTTTAAGCAACGCGGAAAGTAACTTATTAAGCATTCATTCTACAAATCGGTCCTATCTATACGTATCTATCCGTACATATCACGCGTACCGTGATCAGCATTATACATGGAACGCGTACGATACTTGAACGCAACTTTAACTAAACACTGATATTCAGATTTATTAAAATTCCGTATATTTCACTGATACAATTCTCGTTAGTTATTGAACCATAGAATGCAGATTATTGACGATAGGACTCGACGTTAAAAAACAGATCGTATAAACCAAGCTAATTGAAGCAGACATGACCGGGCATGGCCATTTGGTAGTGTGTATTGCACACGCATGACGCCCGCGCGGGCGCGCACGCATTCCTACACTGTTTTTTTTTGTAACATTAGTCACATTTATCAAATTTCAAAGTTCGCATTTTGCCATCAAATATTTCTCTTGTTTCTTTAAATTCTATTCCCAAAATGATATCGAAATTGCCAAGACAATTAAAAAGTGTATGAATATTAAGGGAAGTTCATATGGGATACAGATAGTTTGGAATACCATAATTTCAGACACTACTCTATTGATTAAATGAAATCTAATATGGTCATCGTTATCAAAGCAATACGATCTTTATGAATTTATAACAACTGAGAACAACGTGAGACTTCTATACCACTCTTATGAATTTATTATTAGTTGAGTTTTATTTTTATTTAACGTAAAGCACGGAAAAATTTTATGAAATAAAATCAAATTGTTATTAAATATAATTAATTTTAAAATGGTCTGTTTTATATTCTCAAAATTTTATCTTCAGAAATATTACTAAGTTCGTTCCAGTATACTAACTTCACAACAGAATTCCCCACTTCTACGTAAACACACAGGGAACCAATGAGATCTGGGCAAATCATGAGGTTGCATGAGGTTTTGTCATTCAATCATCAACAAATCGATACTAGTATATTTGAAAATATTTATACCGTATTTTGTAAACACGAATGAATGAATAAGTAATTCATACAATTATTGAACGTGAATAAACTAAATATGCTTACAATAAAACATAAACTATAAAATATCTCCACATTTGAATCACGGTTATATTTGTTTTGATGATTTTTACATTTTTAAATAGCCACGTGTTTGACGTGTATATAAATAAATATAGTAAATCATGAAGGAATCTTTGTTAACCAATTGTGAAAGAAAGTTTGTAAATAAATCAGTGGAACGAGGAACGGTATGATTTTGTTCATATTTCATTGCTGTATTTAAATAAGCACATGTGATTGAATTAATTTAAAATATTAAAATATTTTTTAGCGATTAGATGGCAGAAATTTATTGGAAGCGCGACCCGTTAAAATTTATTTTGGATCAAATTGGGGTAGCTGTATGGTTTTACTTGGGCAAACTAGGTATAATTATTATTTTCTATTATAACTTTCATATTTTGTGATGTTTTTAAATGATTATTTTATTACAGAGCTGTGGTGCAAGTAACTTCTGATATTCAACAACCTAAAACATCTCGTCCCAATGAAGGGATGTTGCATATAAATGTTGAACTTAATCCAATGGCTGCTCAACATTTTGATGCTGGTAAACAATCTGAGTCTTCGATATTGATTAGTAGACAACTGGAAAAGTGTTTTAAAGATTCTAAGTGTATAGACTTAGAATCCTTATGTATTGTAGCTGATAAGAAGGTGAGTAATTACCCAGGTATTAAAAATGTTACATATAATACAATGAAAAATTGTATAAGTTACATTTATTGTACATCTATGTAATTGAAGTTGTGGAGTGGAGTCTATGTAATTATGTCAATTTGAATACTTAATTTAATGCAGGCATGGAACTTAAGAGTCGACATTAATATTATTAATCATGATGGAAATTTAATTGATTGTGCATCAATTGCAACATTAGCTGCTCTATCACATTTTCATAGGCCAGATGTGACTTCAACTGGCGAAGACATTATAATTCATCCATTTTCTGAAAAAGATCCTTTGCCTTTGACATTATATCATTATCCAGTTTGTGTCTCTTTTATAACATTTGAGAGGTCAGTACTTTCAAATAGCTTAATTATATAAAGTAAAATAAGTTTAGATATGTATGTTTTCTATATAAAGTTTTATTTGTTTAGTGGAAACACAATTATGGATCCCACATATCTAGAAGAACGAGTTGGTGTAGCTCAACTTACTCTTGGTGTAAATTCGTACAGAGAAGTTTGTAGTTTGCATTTTAATTATTTAACCAAAACTATGACTGTGGAAGATGTTATATCAGCAGTATCTAGTTATGCAGCAAACTATGCAGCCGAATTACTGAAACAGATTAAAGAGGCAGTAGCATATGATGTAGAAGCAAGGTTTGTTTTATAAATTTATATGACATAATTGTTTTGTAACGATTTTAATATGACATGTTTAACTTGTTTTAATTGCACATGCATGCGCAGGTATAAGAAAGATGACCGTAATACAAATCGTTTTAAAGAATCTATAACAATGAATAAATTTACTACAATGAACAGTGAACGCATTAGTATTAAACTACGCAAATGGGGTGAAATAGGAAAAATCAAACCTGGTGGTAAACTTTATTTTGTATTTATAATTTTATTTTAATAATTCTTTATCAATCAACTCACTTCATTGTACAAAATTTGCATAGAAGATTATACAGAAGAGGATGAAAATAAATATAGGATTATAAAACCTGGAGAAGGTTCTGCTGAATTAATAATAGATAGTGTAAGTACTTCTTTAATTAGAACAAGGTAGAATTGAAACAATTTAAATGTGATTTATAAATTATTTTTACAGAGTGTATCGGTTGGTGATGGTGGACCAAATACGTGGAATATGTCGGAATCCTCCGAGGAAGAAACAAATGACATTGAAATTGCAGCTGAAGTGAAGAAGAAAGAAACGATAGTGTTAGATAACATAGGTACTGTTTTATAATTTGACAGTTTTCTGTATGGTTTTTATCTATTCGATTCCTTTAATGTATGAAACATAGATAATTAATTGTTCAATTATTACTGTTTTAGAATTAAGCGGAGATAGCGAAGAAGAAACAGTTGAAATGCTGAATTTAAAAGATATATCATAATAAATGTAAATTACTAAATCAATAAATCGAAAAACATCATTCTTACCTTATTTATCAAGCAACAATTAAAAACTATGGCACAAATAAATAATATGTTAAGGCGTCTTGTTATACATATATTTTTAAGTGTATTTTATACATAGATTTTATAAAATACCTATGCCTATTAACAAGTAAAAATCCATACATATTTTTTGCTCTCACTAGTAAAATATTATTACAATAACAAAATTCATGAAAGGAAGCCTAGGCTATGTAGTATCATTACTTAAACCATTTTTTTGATCCAATTTATTTGCATTAGTTTTTACTGTATAAATGAAAAAGCTTAGTGCTTCTTTTTCAACTACAGGGATGGTCTTGAAATGCTTCATAAGCGTCTAAAACAAAATATATAAATAATTATTAGTAATATATTTATATTTTCACAAAGTTTAACATTTTGCACTTTTTATGAAAAATGATAATATACTACAATATGATTTGAAAAAAAATATTTTATAAATAAAAGACACTATAATTCATATGGAAGTACATTTTTCTAGTACACTTACATCAGCTAACTGAGCTTTATTTAAGCCTGGTCGTGTAGAAACTTTGTAGTGCCTTTTGTACCGCCTTAATGTGCCAACTTGTAATTGAAAAAGATCAACCTCTGGAAGATCATTATCTGTTTCGCCTGAATCTTCTTCTGAATCCTTACGCCTACGCTGTTGTTGTTGTTTAGATCTTGCGCATTGTATTACTTGTTTATGATAATCACAAATGTATATATGACGTGCCTATTGACAAATCAGATATACAATGATATAAGAGTGTTACCTAATAATACATAGTCAAACCTTACTATTCAAAAATTTACTTAAAAAATTTGATTATTCATGGATAGTTACAACACAAATAGAAAAGGTCACACTACTTTTACACTGTAAGAATTATGTTTCTTTTGAAATTTTCCTACTTTTTTATTATTTTCCCTCTAATAACTATCTTTTACAATATTAATTTTTACAATATTACATTTATAACACTTAACATGTATTACTATGATTAGATTTTCCTGAAAAAAGCCTTCATAAAGTGGCAGTAATATTGAAAATACTATCATTTAAAATATACCCTTTTTTCTTTCTTATATTTGCATAAAAAACGATCCTAAAGACCAGAATATAAAAATAATAATTTATATTTTTTTTCAATCATACAGGCTATGTATTATGTCAAAAGACACTTGTCACTATAACAGCCATTTAGAAATATTCAATTGTACATATTTATATCACCAAAAGTCAATAAATAAACACAGTGTAGTATCAGTGTTGATTACTCACTGGCTTTAATTACCCATGAAGAATCTAAACAATTTAATTACTATGGATACCAAAGTTCCATTGCACTCTACACAATAATCTAAATTTCATTAGTAACATATAATATTTAAAATCATATGAAGAAAAATAATATAAAAATAGACTTGAGAAGGGATGAGTTCTGTAAATAATTTTTGATGGAATTTCACATAATTATAAATCTTACCACTTGATCAAGATTAAGTTTTAATCGCCGCTGTGTTACAGTTTTTTGAATACGTTTACTGTAAGAAGCGTTGCCAGCTGGCCGAGTGCATCGTTCACCCTCATCTACAAGGCAACAAATTTGATCAGCAGCTCCTCTGGAATCTTCTTCACCGGTACTGAATCCATTCATTTTTTTTTATTCTTAACATCAACTAAATCAGTATGAAGAGTATGTAGAACTTTAACAACCTCGAAATGTCACGACGTATGTTTACGTCAAAAAACGGCGTGTCCCAGAGTAAAATGCACTTGGTGATGTCTGCTTTTCACGCTCATAATTTCCCGATGAATTTCATTTGTCATTCACGATTTATTAACGAAATTCATTTCTTTCTTCACGGTCGAAAGTAACTTTCGTTACGCGATGTTTAGTCTGTTATTCGATGCAAAGATTCAAGTATACAAATCGATAATTTAAAATAGTAGAGTTTGCGTATTAAGAAACACTTTGGTGTTAAGCGGTGTCGTATAACATTTCAGTTTTTCTCTTTCAAATAATTTAGTACACGAGTTAGTGTTACATGTCTGTTGCAGCAAATAGTTTGAGAATTTCTTCCGAATGTAAACATTTAACTCTACTATTTCTTTGCTATACGTTATCGTTTTTATAGATTTCTCTGAAATTCTATGGCATAACACTTCACCCGACTTCACCCGCGTTGTATTATTTACACTACTACGTTATATCCAGTTGTATCGCACCGACACGCAATCGCACGGTACTGCGCGACGGTATGTGTACATACGAGTACATATGTACACACATTAAATTCACATACGTGACATGCCACTGAAAAATTCCTATTCGGTAAGATTCAATACTACCAACTTTACAGAACGTCATCGACAGGATAATTTTTTCTGACAAAAGAGAGAACATTTTATTCGGCAATTTTATCCGATCACAAAAAAGATGAAAACTATAAATCTTTACAATGTAAGTATAGGCTACTGTTACGCCATTTTTCTCATGTTACAAATATACGCCAATCGAAATTTAGGCTCCCTCCAAAATCTTAAATAACGGGCAATTCAAAAGTGAAATTAGATTTATACTTTTCCACAAACAAAAATCAGCCCATTATTTTTTTCTTAATTATAAATAGCACGTCATAGAACACAATATTCTACTACTTGTGTTCATTGGTGATGTGACGCATTTTAGTTCATACAAAATGGTCGATTTTAATGTTCTGGACACGTCTGAAGTTAGTAACTAGCAATCGCTGATCTACAGCGACGTTGGTACTATTTTTGTAAGTACCTAAACCGAATGCACTCACAGTACTACGCCTTTACGAACACAAGAATGATCGGATTATTTTAAGAATGATTGTAAAAACAAATAAACACGTAGTATTGATTACGTTCAACTATTTTAATGCATTTTTGAATTTGTACATACAACATAAAATTTTTATTTGCATAAATGGTAGGAATTATATTAAGTATGGATTGCAATCACGTTGGTGGTACTGCATTTTACGCCTTAACATTCAGCTTATGGAATCTAACGCCATCTACGATAATAATAAACCCTAACCTTAATCATTTAAATCATTCGTTTCTCGAAAGATATCGTTCACAAGTGAAATTTAATAAACAAGTTTTATCGCGAAAAATCCGTTTATTTCGTTACGTAAAATGATCATTGTTTAATGGGAAGGCAACATTATTTCGTTAACAGTTTTCCACGCACGATTTTTCCCGCTCTTTTCACCAGCAGACATTTTATTGGAGGGGGGGTAAAAAGAAACGCTTCAAAACATAAAAGGTTGATGCTGATTGGCTTACTTTTTGCGGCTTATCTGAAATAAGCCAATGGTAATACAGATTTTCCCCATACACTTTCATATGCCGCACAAGTGGCGTGGGGTCGCGATATTCGAAGCTGAGAATCCTTTTAGCTGTAGAGGACCGTCCAGGTAAGAAAAATCTAAATATTTTTCTTTCCAAGCGTTGACAGATTTCAGCGACTAACGATCGATTACTAGGCTATCATCGCCGTATAATACGCGTAATACGAGCAAACATTCGGTGAAGTGCTACTGTGCTGCGTACTGTGCATATACCTTTTATTTCTACACAACCGTCATAGCAAATGGCTGCCCGGAGATGTGTTTAGCAAGAAGGTTCTCGTGTACCTTGTTATCGTTATGTGCTGAATTGTGAAGAAATATCGCGTGACAGTTTTTATTATCGTGAAAGCATAGGTACTTCAGATTTCCAACGTAAAATGTCGTCGTGGCTTGTGTTATGAGCCTTTCGTCATAAATCAGCCGTCAAGGCTATAGCCCGCGTACGATCCGTCTCTGTTTGGCTACTTGCGCCATGCATTGGCATATATGGGATCTTGCACTATAGTGCCCGTCACGGTTTTATAACGAATAATTTGCCACTTGACGCGTAGATTACGACAATGAGCATCGAACTGTTGGAAAACTTGTAAAAAATAAGAGGGAGTTTTAGTCATCAGTTTGTTATCTATGGCGTAATTTACAATATATTGCGTTGCTTTTCGTTTCCCGCTCACGTCCAATTCTCGAGGTACTGGGAGTTAGATATACACATAATGGACAGTGGCATATTTACGTTTCGATTCATTAGCATTTTTCATGTCGATATACGTACCATGGGGCTTACGTTAGGCGGGCTATGCTGTTTAAAATAATCGTGGCGATAGATATTAAAAAATGTGGAGGAAGGTAGGGTGTCATGCACAGTATGCTTAAATGTAAGCGTCTTTTAAGCGTCTGTTTTTGCTGTATGCGCCATATCGTCGACAGAATATACACGGTGCAAGGCGCCAAAATGGTACTATGTCTCTTTTTCCTTGATTTTTACTCCATTATTACGCGGAAGACGTAATCTCCCTGTTGGTCTCTGAAATTCGTCGACGTGGCTTCTCTTTTATATTTTTTAATATATATACAATACGTGTTCAATATATTGGGATTATGTAAAGCTGATTATACATAAAATGGTGGGAATATAATCAATGTACGGAAGACATGTTTGCAATACGCAAACGTCACCCGTACTTATTGTATCTGCGTAATATGAGGTTATACGTATAGTCTGGCAGAGATGTGTGCATGATGTTATATTTACTTATTTGTTTCGTATACTTATATTCATAACATGTTATCGCAACCGTGATTTTTTCCACGGAAATATATACTCGTTTTCTAAGTTGTACGTAATATATTTTGAATGTCATTGTCATTCTTCAATGAATTTACAATTTTTATTACACGTACAATTGATCACGTATTCATTTCACTTGTGACTATGTATCTAACGCGAAATTTATGGCGGGAGATATTTAAGAAAAAAAATCTGACACTCCTGTTAACAAATTTTTAGGTGAAAGTAATACAAACTTTTCCGTAATATTTTATCAGTTCTTCTATAAATTTGTAGTTGTATTTATTTAATTATATTTTTAATTTTACAATATTATGTGAAGCATCGATAATTTCGGTCACGTTTCGTGACTAACGAATCGAAGATAAGATTCCTTCATTCATAAGTCATGAA